CCCCAACAACAGTCTGGGCCCTCATTTCACCCACCTCGGAGGGATGGAAGGCTGAGTCAACCTTGAGCCCATGAGATTTGAACCACTGAACTGCAGATAGCAGCCAGCTGAAGTGGCTTGCAGTACTGCACCCTAACCACTGCGCCACCTTGGCTCTTTGGTTCGGCGCAGTTCCAGTGAAGAAGCAAATCCCACCAGTGGCTGCCCCTGCTCATTTTCTGGCCTGTTTTCTGGGCCATTCTCTGGCCATATTTTCGGGCCAAAAACCACCTAAAAAGGCCTGAAAATAGCCCCCAAATCAGCCTGAAAAATGGCCTGAAAATGGTCTGAAAATAGCCCAACCCCCCTCCCCGAAAAATGCCCCCAAATGCCCCCCAAATGCCCTACTTTTGGGCTGGTTTTTGGAAATTTTGGGGCCAAAAAACAGCCTGAAAAAAGCCTGGAAAATGGCTCAAAAATCACCCCAGAACTGGTCTAAAAACAGTCCAGAAATGGCTAAACATAGCTCAAAAATGGCCTGAAAACAGGCCAAAAAATGGGCGAGGCAGGGCGAGGCCAGCCAGTGGTGGGATTAGCCCCAACCAACTGAATCCTACCTCTGTATTTGAGGTGAGTGACCAGGAGGCAGGGCTGGGTGTGATGAGTGACATCACCCACCAAGTCACATGACCAACCGGTCATGCCTACGCAGAGAACCGGTTGTTAAGTTATTGAAGTCCCACCACTGCATTCCTCCCTTCGTCTTTCATGCTTAAAAAAAAAGAGATTCAGAGAAAAAAAGAAAATAGACTGTTTATGGATGGGAAACTGCTAGAAAAAAGAATGATGAAGCTCTGGTGAATCTCCTGTTACCAGCCTGTTTCTAAAGAACATTTTAGAATTAATATAAGTTAAGAACATGGCAAATTCACTTATTGGTGAAACAGCTAAAGTTGAGGCAAACTGTGAATTTGCAGCCAAATGGAGGAAGCAGAAAGACACTCATCAAAATTACAGTTTAACTGGGTTGGAAGGGACCGTGTAGGTCATCTAGTCCNATTCTATTCTATTCTATTCTATTCTATTCTATTCTATTCTATTCTATTCTATGTTGTTGGTCTGTTGGCCAGACGGTTGGCTGTTCAAGACCCAAGTACTGGATGATGGGGTGAGGTTCCTCAGCTCTTGCCAACTTAGCAGTTCGAAAACACGCAAAGGCAAGTAGATAAATAGGCACCACTCCAGTGGGAAGGCAACAGTGTTCCAGGTGCCTCGGTGTGTAATCATACTAGCCATATGACTATGGAAATGTCTTCGGACAACGCTGGATCCTTTGACTAGGAAATAGAGATGAACAGCCCTCCTCCCTAGAGTCAGACACACCCGAACACAACTGCGGGAAACCTTTATAGGTTAGCTTGCTGGTAATAGCCCATTGTTCTTTACTGGTACATAATTGACTTAATATGCTGGCTAGAAAAATGTATCTATTTTAGCACACATTCTGCACATCCTCTAAACAGGAAGCCCTTGGCTTTTTTCCCCCACCATATTTTTCTCTCTTAGTAAAAACAAAACTTCTTCCTTCACAGGGCAACCTATGAGGATTAATTAAGGCTTATAAAGCCTTGTCATTTTCTTCAATAGAAACCATCTATAATATAGCTTTATGAGGCCGCGTTGTTATTTCTAAACCCAATGATTCCCGGGCCTTTGGAAATCACACGAAAACACCTGTTCTTGGGAGATTTTTAAACTGATATCTTGAGTTAAGTTGCTTGGATAAGTAATAGATAAGCATCTGCACTTACCGGATGTTTATCGGAATTGAAAAGCCCAGAAAAGCAGAGGTGGGAATTCTTCCTGATAATCACCGAAAGAAGCAGAAGAAGCAAGATATAAACAAAACACACAAAAAAAGTAAAGTAAAGAAAAATAAATCTCTTCAACTCTATTTCCATAACCGGGGAAGCAGCTCAGCAGCGATATCCTAAGGACCGATTCATAGATTTTCAATGCCATTTTCAAAATTGAGAAAATTGCTTAAACCTGCGTAGAGGGAAAGTCTCGGGAGAACCCAAGATGGAAACAGCATTTACAATCTAGTTGCTTCTAAGAACACGTCAGCTGGCTTTGACAGTTCTCCAGTTTATATAATTTGGGGATTCTGAAACAAAGAGCACTTGAGACTCCATATCTCTTTTATTTGCCTTATCAAAAACATGCAGAGTTTATAAAGCGTTGGGTTCTTTAAGCAGAGTGCTTTCTCGTGCTGAGTCATCCCTTAAAGTTTTACAAGTTCATCATCATTGTAAAATATCTCCAGCGGTTATGGGCGGAGGGTAAATATCTTGGCACCCATAGATGCTATGAACTTTCTGTAGTTTTTTATGTTGTTGTAAGCAGTGGTTCAGTGGCTGAGATGCTGAGCTTGTCGATCAGAAAGTTCGGCAGTTCGAATCCCTAGCGCCACGTAATGGAGTGAGCTCCCAATCCTTGTCCCAGCTTCTGCCAACTCACAGTTCGAAAGCATGTAAAAATGCAAGTAGAAAAATAGGAACCACCTTTGGTGGGAAGGTAACACGTTCCTTGTGCCTTGGGCATCTAGTCATGCCAGCCACATGATCACGGAGATGTCTTTGAACAGTGCTGGCTCTTTGGCTTTGAAACAAAGATGAGCACCGCCCCCTAGAGTCGGGAATGACTAGCACATATATGCGAGGGGAACCTTTACCTTTTTAAGCCACTTAGACTGTAGTAGCACATGTCAAAATAATACACCAAGAAGTAGCTTTAAGCGAAGTCATTGCAATATGTATAGTTTGCAGTCTTACTCAAAGCACACTTGGGAAGAATTTATTTATCATTCAATTTGCTGATAGACTGATTAATGATAACATACATGTACACAAAGAGACATTCCAATAATTGTAAAAGTCCTTGAACGATAGTAATAGCACTTAGACATACAATACAATAGCAGAGTTAGAAGGGACCTTGGAGGTCTTCTAGTCCAACCCCCTGCCTATGCAGGAAACCCTATACCGTTTCAGGCAAATTATATATTCAGACAAACATATACCGCTTCACAGTGCTTTACACCCCTCTCTAAGCAGTTTATGGAGTCAGCATATGGCCCCCAACAATCTGGGTCCTCATTTTACTGACCTTGGAAGAATGGAAGGCAGAGACAACCTTAAGCCTGGTGAGATTTGAACTGCCAAATTGCAGTCAGCCAGCAGTCAGCTGAAGTAGCCTGCAGTACTGCACTCTAAACACTGCGCCATCATGCCTGATGATAAAGTTTCTTAAAATGTTTTTGAAAACTCTTTAAATAAAATGCTCCATGATTGTGTTGACCAGTTGGCTTAACAATGATTTATCATAGATCATCCTTATACACAATTTTTTTTTAAAAAAAAACCCTAATACTTCACATAAAACCAATACATTTTTTCTTTAACTTTTTCATAATGATAATTAGTTAGAAGTAAGTAGTGAGATGACCAAATTTACCAAAGGCCACATTATTCAATTGCGTGAAAGAAAGAAAAAAAAACAGATTGTAATGCACTGTGAAAAATGCCTCTAAGCTAAATGAACAAACTGGTAGATTTGCTGCTTTGTGTTAAAAATGTAAAGTGATGTATACTAGACCTTCCTATATTCCTATTATGGAGGCAGGGCTGGTGAGGCAACTTGGATTCAGGATCAGGGGAGAAATTCTACCGTTTCGGGTGAACCAGTAGCTCCGACTATCAATACAATACAATAGCAGAGTTGGAAGGGACCTTGGAGGTCTTCTAGTCCAACCCCCTGTTTAGGATGGAAACCCTATACCATTTCAGACAAATGGCTGTCCAACATCTTCTTAAAGACTTCCAGTGTTGGGGCATTCACAACTTCTGGAGGCAAGCTGTTTCACTGATTAATTGTTCTAGCTGTCAGGAAATTTCTCCTCTGTTCTAAGTTGCTTCTCTCCTTGATTAGTTTCCACCCATTGCTTCTTGTTCTTCCCTCAGGTGCCTTGGAGAATAGTTTGACTCCCTCTTCTTTGTGGCAACCCCTGAGATATTGGAACACTGCTATCATGTCACTTTCTTTTCATTAAACTAGACATACCTTGACAAATCTTGATTATGATTTTTTTTCATGCAAGCCCAAGCCTTAGGGATATGGGGTTTTTTTTTAAGAAGTTGCATTCCAAATACTTAGCTCATCAACAAAATTGTGCTACCAGCAATCAATGGTTGGCCATTCCAAAATCATCAGCTGTATAATCTTGAGGAATCAGAAGGACGAAATGGCTGGAAACAGTCAACAGGTAAAATTTGTCAGTTGTATTCTCTGTAGCCTGGCATAGTAACCAAGAGGTGAAGACACCTTCCTCCCACTTGGAAGGTTGAGAGTTCAATCCTGAGGCAAGCTGTTCCACTGATCAATTGTTCTAACTGTCAGGAAATTTCTCCTCCGTTCTAAGTTGCTTCTCTCCTTGATTAGNCTATCTATCTATCTATCTATCTATCTATCTATCTATCTATCTATCTATCTATCTACCATGCCTTTGAGTCAAGGTTACAGGATGGAAAAGTTCCTGCAATTTTCTTGACAACTAATTGGCCATGCCCTTCTTTCTCGGGCTGAGAGAAAGTGAATGGTCCCACTAACTTGGTGTCTTAACCATTACACCACTACCAATTTCTTGGTATAATTTTAACATAAATAAATAGATGGGTGAATGCTTAAAACCATTATGAAAATGTAGGACTTTAACAATTAAATTTAGACCATTCAGAGCTACAGTATAACAACTCCTTTATTTTATTTATTTCTTGACATTATTTACATGGCTGCCTATCTCACAAGATTTACTCTGGGTGGTATATAATTAAAACAAAAGCACAGAATGCATTTCCATTCATTTGCAAATTCAATAGATGTTGTTTATTTCATTTCCAATTGGAGTACCAAAATGAGTAAATTTAATTGTAGCATAGTTGCTTCAATGTGATAAATGGAAGAGAAGCAACCTACATTCTAAATCCCAATTAGGATAAAATCAAGCAAGACAAAGCAATACTGAGAAAAAAGAAAGAGATAAGGCTGATATATTTTTATTTTTTAAATTTAATTACACATCCGTATATGATGGAAAATATAAGTGGATGCTAATTGTGTATTATCTCCATTATAATGAACCATTTATAGAGTAAGATTAAAATTCCATATTACTTTCACAATGATTTTACTGCTGCAAAATACGACTTCAATGTTTCAGTATTCAGGTGATATGCTATTAGCCAAATATAAAGTTTCATGCATATATTAGCAAAGGTTTGGGAATTTTCAGGTTAGTGCAGGTGAATTCCTTAACGGATGTGTTACCATTTCCTTTTACAGGCACATTTCTCCCCTGAATATCACAGGTTTTAATTTATGCCCTATCAAACACTCTTTGAGCCCACAATGGGCATGTAATTTGCTATTAATTGACAGTCTAAGGATTCTGTGTTAATCATTTAAAAACTGGCTGAATCTAAACCGTAAAATGTGTTTTACAGTTTTCCCTTTCTTTAACTTCAAAACACCAAGTGCTGAATTCTTGTACATGGAGATGTGCCTTCACTGTGGTAGTGCACTCAGCCATATCATATCCTCCCTTCCTATTTGAATGACCAGCCTTGATTATACAATATATGTATGAACATACAATTCTATTTATAGGAATGTTTTAAACTAACTTCTAGGTTAATACTACTAATACTACTAATTTATGATTTTCAAGGACAATTCAACCATCCATATGGGTTTATCACCATTTCACAGAATCAATTCTATTTTAATTTACCTCCTGTGCCCCAAACTTAGACTTCCACGGGAAGAAGAAAATCCTGGCCTGAAGGTTTCTGAGAACTTCACTTTAGCTTTGAAATCTGCTAAGTGGGAATTCAGTAGAATTAAGTATTCAAATTCAACAAGGTAGGACTATCAAATTTTTAAGAGGAATCTGGCTTACTTTGCTCTAAATATAGCAGGCTTTTCTGGGGAATCACAATCCAGCAATTTTCTTTTTATATTTAATATCTAAATACCAAATATCATCACTATAGATCATGGTCCTTTAAATTTTATTATTAGTTGCAGAAATTAGTGTCTAAAATAAGAGGGGGAAACAAACAAACCAAAATAGACGATGTGAAGCAAATGGAGTGGTTAAGGCCATTTCAATTATATTCACTTAAAATAATTGATGCACTTAAAGAGCTATCTAGCAAGAATTGAGATGTCATTCCACAGCACTTCAGGGACCATCCAAGGCTGTGCTGAAATGAGACACTGCATAACATTTGTCTATTTAATATTCTGGTGTCTAGATTATTTATTGGTATTCAGTAGCCTTATATTGCATCTACTCCAGGAGAATAAGATCGCAAATGTAATAAAGCTTCCTTCCTCCCCACCCCTTAGTTTTAGAATTGAGTCAAGCTTACTTACTTTGATTACAAGGAAAGGACAAGCATAAAGTCAAGTGCAATGAGAACATTCTATGATGGTTCTTCTGATGTATCCTCCATAAACATGAGGATTGAAACACTATTGCTTTTTATATTGCATTTGGATAGCTGGTTGGTTTTGTCAAGGATACATTAAATTGGTAAAACAAAATTGAAATTAGCTTCAGGAAATCAAACTTGTTTTCACTTCTTTATCTATAAAGGAAAAGTGTGTTGTGTTTGGGTATATATGGAGCAGACCTAAAAAAAACCAACAAATTATATTCAAGGTGTGTCCATTCATAAGAATGCCCAGATTCATTAAGAATATCCAAGTTTTCTCAGGTATTGACAAAGAACGCTCCTAAATTAAAAGTTTGGTTGAAGTAAGAATCTTAAAAATATCTTAATAGTGAAACAGCAAAATCATAAACATGCAAAAAAAAATAAACCCGGTGATTTGTTAAAAGATATATCCTGAATAATAATAGGTGCTTTTCTTCTTATCCATCTAATCCTAAATAATTTTCATTTGTTGAACAGCATGGTATCCATTTATGTTAGCTCATTAATGTAATGATAGTTTCAGCTCAACATGAAGTTTGCTAAATTTCTAAATTAAAATTGACATTTGTGGGGACAAGGGATGCTAAACTATGATCTCTGGTGGCAAATATCATGTGTGGAATTTGATTTTAAGCAAATCCCTCCTACTGGTGTAAACTGCACACAACTTTCCATTTTTAATTACATGTTTTATTCTTAAAAAACATACCACCTATTTCAAGAGCATATATTGGTTGCCTGAACAATAACAACAGAAAGTACAAAAGTGAAAAAAAGTAGACTTTTAAATTCTTGAAAATAATTTTCTTCTTCTGTTCTTAGTGTTGTTTATATAATTGGGGTGATTTATTGGGGGATAGAGTTGCATTGGTTACCAGTTTGCTTCCAGGTTCTACTCAAGGTGCTAGGTGTGACCTATAAATTCCTACATAGTATTAGCCAAGGGTATGTGAGGGATAGCTTCTTCCCTGTTACATCTATGAATTCCATATGATCTGGTAGAAAGAGTATGTTGCAGGTCCTGGCTACAAAGGAGCTTCATATGATTAGAACCAAGAGAGCCCTTTTCCCATAGCAGGGACGTGCAGTCACTAGAGGCAAGGGAGGCAGAGCCTCCCCAGTCTCCTGAGAGAAAGGAAAGAATTTTAAATATTTTTTTTTAATGAATTAAAGCCAGGATAGTTGCTAACAGATTTCAAGTCACAGTGGCTTGGTATCTGCTCTCA